CGAGAATGCGGACAAAGACCCCGAGACTTTCCTGTCCAACTTCTTGTCGGCACGGGCCTGGATCCCCACCGACAAGCCAGAGCTGCATCCGTTTGATTCAGATGAGGATGACGATGTCGACCGAGCAGACGCTATCGAAGAAGCATACAACTTCCGCTTCGAAGACCCCAACAAGATGAACGAGGTGATAGTCACGCACTCCCGTGATCTTACCAACCAGCAATCCGTCCGTCGCGATGAAAAGAGCTCCCGTAAGAAGATTCGTGATGCTGAGCGCGCACTCAAGGATGAGGAGAAGAAGCAGCGCGAAACTGAGAAGAATCGTCTGCGCAAATTGAAGACCGAGCAACTCCAGAAAAAGGTGGAACAAATCAAGGAGGTTGCGGGACTTCGTGCCTCAAGCTTCACGGACGAAGACTGGTCTCGTTTCCTGGATGCTTCCTGGGACGACTCAAACTGGGAAGCAGAGATGCAAAAACGATTTGGCGAGGAGTATTATGCCGGGGAGGAGGGCGAGAACAGCGAAAATGAGGGAGGGAAAAAGAAAAAGCATCCCAAAAAGCCTACATGGGATGACGATATCGATATCAACGATTTGGTCCCAGACTACGAGGACGAAGAACCGAATCCCACACTCGAACTATCAGAAGGCGAGGAAGAAGATGACGACGAAGCTTCTGGGTCTAAGAAAAAGAGCAAGGCTGAAGAGAAGCGCATTCAGAAACGTGAGGCCCGCAAAGACCGTCTTCGCATTGACGATGCGGTCGAGCGCAACCTGGATCTCGACATCACCTTGCTTCCTGGAGCTACAAAGAAGAACGCCACAAAGTTCCGCTACCGCGAAACCTCGCCGCAAAGCTTTGGCTTGACTGCACGGGATATCCTCATGGCGGACGACACACAGCTCAACAAGTTCGCTGGTCTGAAGAAGCTGGCCACCTTCCGCGAAGAAGAGCAGAAGCGGCGCGATCTGAAGAAGCTGGGCAAGAAGGCCCGGCTTCGCGAGTGGCGCAAGGACACTTTCGGTGATGAGAATGGGCCAGTGTTCAAGTTCGGCGGTGATGTCCAACCCAGTCAGCCCAAGGAGACTGTTGATGAGGATAAGGTTGATATCAGAGAAGGAGATGGCACACGTAAGAAGAGAAAGAGGTCGAAGAAGCATTAAACGTGTTGCATCTGTCAATCTACTATTGTTTATAGCTTATTCAAATCTATTTATGAAACGAAATAGAATCATTCCCATTTTGAGTTACAACACCTACTCGGTCACTTAAAACAGTTCTTTGTAATAATATATCTTAACCATGGACCAGCATCGTGTAGGAATAATTAAAGCACAACTGAAATCGTTGAATTCCAAAGAGGCAGCTTTAGAAAGTGCCGAATGGTGAGAGTATTGCTGACAATATATATTCGCAGCTTTTCCAAAAAGTGGAACATATACAACAGAAATTGGCACAAATTACAACTCTAGTTTATTGCCAAGGAGTTACATATGTAGACATATCACACCACAGGTATTGGAAATTCGATCGAGAATGATTTTCTTGCAATCTGTTCTTCAGGTCCATATACATACCTGTAGGACTCAGTAGCTCCCGAAGCGGAAAGCTCCCATGCGATGCGGGCCCACTCATGCGCTAGCGGTTGCTGGGGCGAACCTCGGGATATTTTGATTTCAAGCTTTAGGAAGCTTCTAATATTCCGTATTGCTATTATAATCTGGGTAGGTAAATGATTTGAACGGAGTCCTCCGTACAGACAATTTCCTTGAGAACCAAGGAAAGTGGAGCCAATGTGCTATTGGGTACCTGGCATTGTCTAACATGTGAAGTACCTAGGTACATCGTCTATGCGGCGATCTATCACCTTAAAGTTTGTACCCGCGACACCAAAATAGAAGCGGAAAAAAATGTCTCATATCACGTCTAGGTATCCCTCGCATATCGCAGCATTGTATTATCGCAAGATCTGGGAGGGATCACATTTGCTTAGTTGGTTTATTTATGCTACTGTACAATGTCCTAGATAATCTCAGTAAGAAAAAAATAAAAAATTAAAGAATAAGATGGTTAGTGGGTGAGGAGACCTGGGGAGAATCCACTCGCCCGACACAAACAAAGGCTACTCCCTCCGTACAACATACACATACTAGGAACATCGGGGTTTTTTTATATCAAGTTTGAGCGGTCAAGTACATACGTAATCAAGAGCGCCATATCCGAAACCATTCAAGAACCCCAGAATACAAGGCTAAAAGGGAATAATAGCGACGTCGGTGGCAACTCCGAGATATAATTTTCATGCTCGGTTCGCCATCGGATACCCGGCCAGCAAAAAGGAGGTTGCCCCGGGGAGTGGATGCCCGGCATTGGACAGGGAAATATACACCGTACCCCTACGGTATTATGCACCGGCGCTTGGGCCGTTGCTCGGGACTACAGGATGTCGATGATCACGAGTGAAAAAATAGGATAGTGATTGATTTCCAAAAGAAACAAAAGTGAATTTATAAAGTGGTTGGATTGTAGACAGTGATAGAGTGGTCCCTTTAACAATTCCAAAAAGACCCTCATACGGCCAAAGCACTTGTCCAGACCCAATATCAAAGACCGGCCAGATTGCAGAATTTTCAGTGGATCGGGAGATATCGGCAGGAGGCAAACTAATACGGCATAATACAGCATAATAACTGTAAGATACAGTAATTTAACCCCCTGGGCTTCCTGATTGGGTCTTAGCGCCCGGCGGTCGAGTATTTTTTTTCTGGCCCCCCTTCCCGCCTTCTCTCTTCCTTTTTCTTCCTCATTATCCCTGGTGTCTCTTTCTTCTTGACACTCTTTTCCATCTCCTCTCTTTTTTTTTTTTGCATCCCGTTTCTTTTGCACTATCTTCAAAATGGGTTCCGATAACCAGGACAAGACCGTCTTCGGCATGCCCGTAAGTATCTCCTTGTGAGCTTGTGAGAGCTGGCCTCGATGTCGCGTGAAGATTCAAAACGATGAGATGTCAAGCATCAAATTATCATCGAACTTGCTTCCAAGCGCAATTTCAAGGATAGCTCATCACTAGCTCAATATGAGTTGAGCAGAGGAACAATGCTAACAAGCCTTTCACAGAGCTTCGTTGTCGACTTCCTGAGTACGTGTCATGCTTGATGCTTGGAATCACAAGCGATTGCAAACTTCAACAGCGTCTTGAATGTCCATACTAACTGTCCTTTAGTGGGTGGTGTCTCCGCCGCTGTCTCCAAGACCGCCGCTGCCCCCATTGAGCGTATCAAGCTCCTGATCCAGAACCAGGTTGGTTACCACCCGTCTAGCACCGATTGAAACGGACCAAAGGAGGAAGTTTATACTTGATTGTGATTTGCAATTGAGTGTAATGTTCAACATTGGACACAGGTTGTGTTTTCACATCGATCACAGCCCGTGAAAAATTTTCTCCCTTGGCCCGTGACAGTCGGCGGCATAATATTTCCACCGACTCAGCATCTAACCACATTCGATCAATAGGATGAGATGCTCAAGCAGGGTCGTCTCGACCGCAAGTACAACGGCATTGCTGACTGCTTCCGCCGTACCGCCGCCGCTGAGGGTGTTGTCTCCTTGTGGCGTGGTAACACCGCCAACGTCATCCGTTACTTCCCCACCCAGGCCCTTAACTTCGCTTTCCGTGACACCTACAAGTCCATGTTCGCCTACAAGAAGGACCGTGATGGATACGGCAAGTGGATGATGGGTAACCTTGCCTCCGGTGGTGTATGTATCTCTAAAATTCCCTCACACTTGGACTACGACTAACAAATCCCTTAGGCCGCCGGTGCCACTTCCCTCCTGTTCGTCTACTCCCTGGACTACGCCCGTACCCGTCTGGCCAACGATGCCAAGTCCTCCAAGGGCTCCGGTGAGCGCCAGTTCAACGGTCTCGTCGATGTCTACCGCAAGACCCTCGCCTCCGACGGTATTGCCGGTCTCTACCGTGGCTTCGGTCCCTCCGTTCTCGGAATTGTCGTCTACCGTGGTCTCTACTTCGGAATGTACGATTCCATCAAGCCCGTTCTCCTCGTCGGTCCTCTTGAGGGCTCTTTCCTCGCCTCCTTCCTGCTCGGCTGGACCGTCACCACCGGTGCCGGTGTTGCCTCTTACCCTCTTGACACCGTTCGCCGCCGCATGATGATGACCTCTGGTGAGGCCGTCAAGTACTCCAGCTCCATGGATGCTGCCCGCCAGATCATCGCCAAGGAGGGTGTCAAGTCTCTCTTCAAGGGTGCCGGTGCTAACATCCTCCGTGGTGTTGCCGGTGCTGGTGTCCTGTCCATCTACGACAAGGCTCAGCTCCTCCTCCTCGGCAAGAAGTTCTAAGCGATTCACTGAAATGTGAGTCTCTTGCCACTGTAGTTATACTGGAATAGGGGATGCATGCCTCCCCCAGTGTAACCACTGGGCGTGGAATTTGAGGATATGGGATGGTCAAAAGATAGATGCGTCAAGAAATGGGTCTGAAGGATCTTGAAGCATAGAATGATGTGATACTTCCCTTTTTGTACCCAATGTACTTTACTGCCTGCAAACTCTTTTCGTTTTTTCACCTTGATCCTTGTGAATGTTGTAGAAGTAAATAATCATTATTATCTCCATGAGCTAACACTGTTTTCTGTCACCCTCGGTAGCTTTCTTCACGGCTCAACATGTTTGCGCTGTAAGTTGTATGCTCCCAGCTATGCTCGTACAGTGAAACGAAGCAAGTGAAGGTCAACATCTAAGCCCCACTGCCTTTCAGGTGTCATTTCTATCTTTCAAACAAACTTGGGTGAAGCACAGGCAACCGCCAAAAATAAAAGAAAAAGAAAAAGAAAAAGTAAAGAAAGGGGTCCCAAAGCGGCAAGACTCCACAGCGGCAATAGCTATGACGTCTAGGCTCCTCGAAGCTACAAAGCCTCTTCACCCCTTGACACTTCAGACTCCCACTTACAACATATCAATCCATCAACACACAGAATGTCCGCTCCAACAGGTATCCAAACCTACACTTCAGCGCCTGTGAACTCCAACAAGGAGGAAGAAGGCACGCATGCAACAACCTCGCAGCCCGAACCCGCCACCGCAATCGAGTCACCAGCAAGCGCACCCTCAACACCTCCACCAGCACCCGCAACAACAACAACCGCCCAGCCCAGCTCCCCAGAACCAGCACCACCGCAGCCAGGCGCCACAGCAGTGCAACCAACCCCAACAGCAACAGCCGCGCCTGAAGCACCACCACCAACAACCTCCTCCCCCGAGACAGCAACATCCACAACCCAGACACCACCCGCACCCCAACCGGGCGCCCTCCCATCACCATCAACTACATACACAGGCGCAGCAGCGCCCCACTCCTCTTCAATCCCCCCACCCCCAAAGGTCGGCGAAGCCGTCTCCCAACCGCCTCCACCACCAGCCCAGCCAACCCAGCAAAGCTACAGTCAATCCTACTCCTACAACGCGCCCACACTGGGTGCGCAGACTACAATCCCGAACTCTACCTCCGCGTCTTACTCGTCTGTGTACCAGACGCAGGCGGGATCATACGCTCGTCCGCAAACGCAGACTCTGCCGCTGCACTACGGTGCGGGTGCTGGGTCTGGGTCTGGATCTGGAGGTGGGGCGGATAGTATCTTCCCCGAAGAGGAAGAGGGATTTATGGGTGCTGCGAAGGGGTGGATGAGGTGGTCTGGCAATAAGTTGGCGGAGGTTGAGAAGGGGGTTTGGAAGAAGATTAATGATGTTCATGGTTAGGAGGATGGGGTATGGATTGGGTTTATTGGATGGTTAGGTTGGAATCTGTTTTTTTATGGGTTTACTGGCTGAGGGGTTGCATGCGGTGGGTTGGGCTTTTTTATTTGTGTATTAGGTAGGATATTTGGGGTATGAGGGGAGTACCAAATTGGGTTATGGACTTGGGCTTGTACTTTGCTTGGAGTTTGTCTTGAACGATGTTTTTAATACGAGTGCTTTGGTTGGACTTGCATTGGGAAGAAGCTCTGATGAGAACACCTAGCCTATGTATAGGACACTGTGGATTCTTTAGATGAGTATAGTCATAAACCATGGATACTTAGTTACAAGCGAAAAGAACAATATGGTAACTGAACCGCGCAGAATTTGCGACGGGTTGAGTTTCTAAACTAGCTAAGTGAATATGTATTTCCATCCCATCCCCAGCTGAAAAGCGTTAAGTAGTCAGCCTCGAAAACCGAAGCTGAAACCCCCGGGGCAATGCAAGGATGATGAACCTGCAATGTACAACAGACTATGCGTAGAGCACACAAAGAGAAACACGGACAAATAGACAGAAAGAGAGAGGAAGAAGATAAATTCTCAGTTGGATCAGTGAAGATGACTGAGATTCCATACAAGTCGGAAGGGCCAGTGCAATCAGTAAAGACGACCGAAACCTCACTTCAGATGGTTGAGATCTTCCAAGGATAATTGGGGGTTGTTGAAATTGAAAGCCCATAAGAAAAAGAGACAAAGTAGAGTATTAGAAAAGTTCGGAGTATGAAGAAAAAAACACAAGGAGTCTTGTAGCAGTAGCAGACTCGACTAATGCAAAGATAAACGCCAGAATGAGTAGGTGACAGACAGTAGTGCTGTGAGCAAACCCATGTTAAAAGAAAAGAAAAAAAAAGGGAGCGGAGAAAAGAAGGGGGTATTTGGAGTTGTCATAGCGGTAGCAGTAACGGGACTGCTACCCTGAATCATGTGACAAATTGTTTCGTGTCAGGCATAAGAGAAAAGTGAAAACTTGAACGCCATCTTGGAAACCCAATACCACAAAGGTCCAACCCAACGCCCATCAATCAAGGTAGTTGCACTGCAAGCTAGCCAAATTTCCTGGCTTTGGATTTTTTTTGGAATTGTCGAAAGACCATGGCACGCCAAGAGCGGTCCAGACCAACTTTGACGGCCTTGAATGTGAAAGAAGAAAAATAGTGTATCCCGCAAAAGAGTAGAAAGAAATAAACGCCGACCATGAGGGTGGGGCTTTACATGGAGCCCAAGCGGAGGAGCGCCTCCACAGCGGCGCGTTCCTGGATGTCAAAGGTGCGGGGTGGCAACTTAGCCACAGATGGGCAGGTGGCAGGGAAAATCCCAGATGGCTGAGGCTTTGCGCGCGCAGCGACATGACCGTTGATGAAACTGCCATTGTTGTTCATTGAACGGGCGCGCAAAGCGTCAGCGCCGATTTGTGCCCAGTCCTCCTCATCGGTGTCATCGCCTTCAACCCACTCGTTTTCTTGCATCTCATCGGGAGCCTCCGAGGAAGAGCAGTACTCGCCGTCGTCGCCATCGAGAGACATTTTGTCGGCCTCATGTTCCAGCATGTCAAGGTCGCCGTGCATGCCGTAATCGTCGGTGTACGAGAATGCCGTGGATTCGGCAAAGCTCATGCGGTATGGATGACGGTTGCCACCCTGCCAACCCGACTGGCCCTGAATCTGTAGGCCACGCTGCTGGAACGAACCTGCGACACTCGAAGGAGGCGACGACGAAGCATTCAAATCACGATCGTGAGCAGGTTCACCACGACGTCGCGCGTCCCAGCGGCCCCAACCAATCTTCTCGAATACCACGTCGCCTTGAACACCACCTGCCTCACCTCCATTTCCCCGACCTTCCAACGCCGCAACGACAAGTCTGCGCGCCTTGGCTGGGGGAATATGCGAAAAGCCAGGGACGGAAGCTGTCAGATGACCCATAACGTGACGGATAGCCAAGGGCCCCTGCTCGAGCAAGATCTCAGGGAGATGATGTTTGGAGAGCATGGCAGGGGTGATCGCGCCGGTACTGTCGAGGTCATCGACAGGCAGGGAGACATGATGGCCGTTGTCGTGTTCCGCATCCTCGAGATCAATATCGGAGTCCAACTGGGGGACAGTCGACAGCGGCGATCCTGGCGACAGTGTCGCTCGGTGCTTGAAGGTCTGAGGAGGGAGGGTTGGGGAGATAGAGTTGGGTGGCGTGGGCAGCATCGCAGGCACACGGCCGCCACTCAGGCCGGAGCGGCGCTGGGGAATATCAACCGAAGCAGTCTTGCCAGCAAGAGCCATAGCAATGCTGGAGTTTGTATGGAAAGCCATGGTGGATAGAATATGGATTTGTGAAAGGAGAAGAACCTAGAACGCGCAAGCCGGGGTATATGAGTCAGAAGACGATCTAAAAGCGCGACAAAGCAAGTACCACGGAATGATCGGGTGGCAACAGAATAGCTTCAGAATAAAAGAGTCAAAGAAGTAAAACAAAGGATCTTACCTTTCACACACAGTGACAAAAGAGACACTGTAGCCGTGTAGCGAAGTTGGGGCCAACTTTGTTTAGGGCTTCCACGTAGGGGGGGAGATGCGACGCGGCAAGGGGAGATAGATAGTCGCGATAAGAGCAGGATTCCAAGGGGAAGAGGTCGGAGAGTGTCCACGAGTTTGAGATGTTAAGGAAGAAAGGAAGAAGATCAGTGTGACTCCCTGGAAGTGACTTGGACCTTTGTACTCTTACCAGGAAGGCCCAAGTATGGAATTAGGAAGGCGCGTGGGTGGATTGATTGGCGCCTCGTGGGACACCGGGTGCTTCCGGCTCTCTCTTCACTATTACTATACTATTATACTATTATAACTATTATAAACTATTGACTATTAAACTACGACATTATTACCTTCTATTCCTTTTAGTTTGAAACATATTAGTATAAAAATACATTCTATATACCCCTATATATGTTCATCACCATCTTCTTTCATGTTCACACTAATCTTCATCCCTGAGTCGATCTAAGGAAATCCAGTTCCCTGTACCCCCACTGGTGTAAAGATATCTGAGTAATAGAGAAATAAAACCCCTCATGCCAAGTTGTTATCGGCCAGTCATGGTGATCCCCAGTGCTCGTGCGTCTTTAATGAACGCTTGCAGCGCTCCAGGGCGTAACCCTACTTTCTCCTATCATCGGCTGATAACCATCGTTCACGGCACGTGGACCATTTAAACAACTTCAACCTTTGTACCTGTGGACACTCTTCAATAGTGTAGATGTCATTCTTATTCTAATGTATGTGACGTTCTGATCTAGAATTGCCCCTCCATTGTGTAACTTGCATGTAACTATGCATAGAAAGTACAATATCAAGTCATCGTTAGGGTAAGGATGTAAGCATTTAGGTACTAGGTACATCCACTTCCCCTCGGGTCCCACTACAATCTGGGCTCTGGCCCCTTGACGTCACATGTACCGGTGACATTTCTTGGAATTGGGCACTTCTATTATATTCCTATATACATCGGAGTATACTCCTTGCTATGTTGCCTATCCCAAGGGAGTATACGACATGCATAATTGAACCCTAAATCACAACATTGAACTCACCCTTACAATCCCGACTATGCTGTGCACATTCGCCTTATCTTGGAATGTAATCCTGCATACTCCGTAGTTGACACTTGCCTTGGAAGCCCAAGCCCCCGTTGCCCCGTAGAATACATCCGAGGAATGCACCTAGTGCGAGGTCCATGTACGACATACAAGCCACTTGTACACCTGTACACCTGTTGACTTGTGGGCTTGCTAGGGTCTGTGTGTTGGAAATTGTGGGCTTTCTCAATTTGGCCATCAATTCCCTTTCCCCCCTCCTATTGTGCGGGAAGTAGATGCGGATGACGAGCTAGCCCTGCATGTCACCTTCTATGTCATTCTACCATTCTATACAACTTTAACCCCTCAATGATGCTGCACCGAGGGGTTTGCTTGCCCTTCTGGTGATCTCCGATTTATGTGTGTGCCTTGATCGGTCCCTGGCCGCTTACCCTGTTTTACCCCGCGATGTTCGAAATAATCTTGACTCTGCAGATACTACATTTTGGTCATGCGTTCCTCAAAATTGTTGCTTACAGGTAGTCAGACAATATTTAGTCAACAATCTGACTCAGATTAAGGGCGATAGGCAAGTGGAGAGCGGAAATGGTTATCTTTTTGACTCTACGCTGTATACGTACATCGTCCATTCTATAACTTCCCATCTCGGACTCCGAAGTATGAGCCCACCCACTGTATCCCTCTTCATTTTTTTCTTCCCGATGTCATCCTCTCCAACCAAAGCTTCAAATCAAAAGACCCCTCACTCAGATCACGCATATTTCCTACGAAGAGAAACGCGTACCCCTCGGCCTGCCTGGGAGATTGGTCATCCGCATACCTAATTGAGCAAGCAATAGTTGTATAGCTAGGGCCCTCGTAAGCCGCTAGTTTCTCTGCATCCTCAATTGTCGGTACTTCGTACGCGGCCCCCGTGACAATGTCACCGGGACCACTAGAAAGTAAGGCTGGGTAGTGTCCCCAAAGCTTACACTTGTAGCCCTCAATGTATGCAGGTCGCAGGTGGGATGCCTGTTTTAGGTCTAATAGATCTACAAGTAGACTTTGATCTTGGAGTGAGCCGTAGAAGAAATATGGTCCTGTTGGAGCAGGACGTTGGATTCGAGGTCGTGGGACTTGGGATTGAAAAAAATGACTGGGAGATGTGCTTCGCATGTTCAGGACTGTGGGTGATATTTTTGAGCGAGGATTCTGTGGATGAGGTGGGGGTGGAGGAGGTGGTAGACTGCTCATTGACCGTATTGAGTCGGCCATGGCTGTGGTAGTATGAAACATCGAAAAACCTGAGCGCTGTCTATGGGTGTCTCTAGGGCTGTTCTCTAGGGCTGAGAGATGTTGTTACATAACATATGTGTTGGAACCCATGGACGTTTGTGGGGAGAATCACTGCCGGTGCGGGGAATTGCAGATGCCTTCACTACTACACACATTGTTTTGCTATGATTTTAGGCAAAACAAGCTTTATTTTCAGTTAGATCCCAATGTTGAAGAAAATGACATTAACCTTGGAAACTCTTGTGATCGGATAAATGGGGCATCTTCACCTATTCAATTGAGGCTATTTCCCCGACGCGGGGTTTCGAGCGCCTAAATAATGCGATACTAGACAATTAGCCAAAAAGATAAATTGTTAAATAGAAGTGGAAGGTGTTTTACAGTAGTTTAAAAGGGAATCTTTCGAATTCATCACACGCCTGGCTATAATGGTCAACTACGGATTTGCATTTCTCTGTTTGGCAATCACCGCAAACGCAGCAGTTAGCCCCAAGTCTTTGGACTCAGATATTTCCATTCTTATTCACAATGACCTACTAGGTATACATACTCCCTGGTATCGGGTGGAATCAAAGACTGACGGTTGAAACAGAAACCGAAAGTCCTCGATCAGGTTCAGGAATTCTGGTGCTCGATGCAAGATCATGGCAAGCCGCCACCGAAAGCTGTCAAAAGGTTGGGGAGACTCTCTGGGGGGCTGATTCCAGTTACAGGAATATTCAAAGTGACTTGGATTACCTTATATTCCAAGGCAAATACGCTCGTAACCAACGTTTTTGGACTGTCTTGGACCACCGCAAACTGTCGACTATCGACACAAATGGCCGGGTCAATCAAGCCTCTGCGAATGAAAAACTCCCCGTTCTTTGTACACAAAGTGCTCCATTATCCAACAGCACATTTCAAAATACAAGTGCTCAGTGGCAGGTGACTGTCCACTCCAACGATGAATATCTCACTGGGTATGTAGCAACTAGTGTTTTCCCAGAACCTCGCAATATATTCTAACAAAATGTAGATTCCGGGATCGAGTCAGTTTCCGCTTTCTGGGAATTCGCTATGCTAAACAGCCCCGGCGATGGGACTATTCCCAAGTACACAAAGGGGCTGGCAAAAAGGCTTCTGCTCTCGACTATGGCTCTGACTGCACACAAGGCACGACTGGTTCCGAAGACTGCCTGTTCCTCAATATTTGGACTCCCTATCTTCCCAAGAGCAAAAAAGTTCAAAAGAACCATCTCAAACCTGTGATGCTTTGGATTCACGGCGGAGCTTTTACCGGCGGCACTGGTAGTGACCCGACGTTCGACGGCGGCAATCTAGCCTCAAGAGGTGATGTTGTGGTCGTCACAATAAACTACCGTCTGGGAACATTGGGGTTTCTTGCACTAGATGATGGCAAAACCAACGGGAACTACGGATTGGCAGACCAGACTACAGCGCTGGAATGGGTTCGTCGGAACGTTCAGGACTTCGGCGGCGATCCGGACAAGGTAACCATTTTCGGCCAGTCGGCCGGTGCAGCCTCAGTGCGAGCACTCCTTGCTTCTCCTGCAGCACGTGGTAAATTTGCTGGTGCAATTATGCAGAGCAATCTGGGTGGCTTGGCTTACGGCACAACCTACTCGAAGTACTATACCATCGCGCAGGAGATGGACGTTGTGGGGAATACTATTCTCAATGAGACAAACTGCACAGATGTTGCTTCACCAGTCGAGTGTTTGAGACAACTCCCCGCATCGACGATTGCAAACCTAGCCGACTCGGCGCGGTATCTAGTTGTCGATGGCGTTTACCTCCGAAGCTCAGAACTGGATTTAACAAACCCAGCATCAACTGCCAATGTGCCTTTGATGATAGGTACTATGAGAGACGATGGCGCTGCCATGATTGGTTATCCTGAAGTGGGAGAAACTCTGAAATCCTTCCTCAATGAATCCGGCCTACCTGACTCAATTGCACCAAGCCAACTCTTCCCTGCGCCATCAACCGCCAATGCTACACTCGATATCTTCAACACTTCCTCTCGCATAGCCACAGATGGAATGTTCCGCTGTATCGACGAAGCAACTGCACATGCAGGCTCAAGAACACATATATTCCCCGATATCTACTATTATGAGTTCAACCGTTCATACCAAATGCCTGGCTGGTCACCCAATGCCCCGGTGTGCAACGCTCCTATTACAGAAGAGTTTCCGAATGGTGAACCCAGCCAGGAATACTTTAAATGTCATTCTGGCGAGCTTTTCTACGTGTTTGGAAGTTTCCGTCGTCAGGGCTTGCCTTTCCGCGATGAGTTTGATCTACCTTTTGGGCAGTATGTGCTGGATTCCTGGGCAAGTTTTGCAAGGGCGGCTAGACCTACTCCTAACTTGGGCTTTTTGAAGGCAAGAAGATATGATAATACAACTCGGGAAATTGAGGCAGCTGGGTTGTGGGAGCCGTTTGGCAAAGAAGGTCAGATTCGGCTGCTTCAGTGGCCATCGAAAATGAGCGATTTGGATGAATTGGAACAATGTCGTGCATTGAAATTGTCTTTGGATTACTTCGACTCTTAGAATTAGAAAAAATGAATTAATGTTTTTAACTACAGACAAAGGACTCTGTATCTCCTAGCTCCGTCAATGCTTTATTCAGACAAAACATAAACTTGTCTTGTAAATGCATTTTCTAGAAACAACATGAATGGCTCTTTGGTTCTTTTGTTTGGGATGTTGTTTATTGGCAGTCTCGTTTCAAGGGTCGTTTGAGAACTCTTTTGCGCGGCCCCCTTAACTTCAATGCCTTTGTAGTGTCTTTGTTGGTACTCGAGCATGATATTTGTAGATACAAACCCTTTGTGTTCAGTATTTTGAGTGGTCTCTTGGGAGGCCATTTGCTGCAGTATAAGATCCATGATGGTCCGTCTCTCAATGTAAAGACAAACCAATTGATTTCATCTCACGGGGACCATTTTTTCTTTCGACATGCCTGGAAAGGGAACCAATACAGGTCGTCGGGGTAATTATACTGTGAGAGACTATTTGGTTAATATCAAACCGCAATATTTGAGTTGCCTTTGGGACAAAGGTGATTGGAGCCAGGCCCACGGCGATAGTAAGGCGTCCGTTCGCGGCACCTATGTCATGAAGAGCATGAAGACAACTACTCAGCCACCAGAGTACCGGCTTCAGGTTCTGCACGGAGCTAAGCCTATATTAAACTTCACTATGCCAGGAAGCTCGAACAAGAACGGCTCAACCAATCCTCCTACCTCCCAGGAGGTTATTGATGCCATTACAATCGAACTCAGCAAGATCGGTAAGTAGAATATGAAAGTCTATATATTTAACTATAGAGAGCTTTCTCAACACTCGCTAGTCATCTATTTTTGCAACCACTTTCAGGGCTCGCCTTCAACCTGGGGTGTAGTGGATAATTTCGACCTTGTTTTTTGGGTCGTTCCCTAGATCATACTGACTACAACATCTTTCTTTCACAGAGCTTTTAAGTATTTTATTTAAATCTGAACTGTTTCTCGTCCTTTGTTTCTCGTCTCATGCTTGTTTCCCAATTTATATACCAATTAGAGCCTTAGCTTATCACATCTATGACCAAATAAAATACCTTCCTTTTACCCCTAAGCAAAAGTAAATCATGGAAACAAAGTTTTCTATGCATCCTTTTAAAATAACAAATGATGTCAATTTAAGTCACTGGCTAATCAAACCGAAGTCATGTAAAAGAGTACATGCTATCTACTACAAGTTTCATAGTGAGATACAGCATGGGTATCGTAGTCGAATTTCGAGTTGAATTATTCATATACAAAGCTGATAGTGCTGGTCACACCCAAAGGGGAACCCATGACTTTTTGGCTTCTAGTTTTCTTTGGCTTACTTTCCTTGCAGTGTTTCAGTTACCTCCCTTCACCCCCCC